AATCTGTACATGGTATAGTTAGCACCTAGGGACACAAACGTTGGCAGCATTTTTGCCCATTTACCTCTCCGGTAGTCCTATCCCAACAATTCTTCAACTTCATCAGACTAAAACCCTCTGGTCCTACCACCTCGCGCTGCTCTTTGCCTGTCCTGGGCCTTCTCTCCTCCTTGCGTGTTTAAAACCCAGGTCACTCATGGCCCTCACTCTTTTCACAGGCACCTCCACTCCCTAGGCCTTGCTTCAACCACTCAGCTTCTCTCACAAAATAACAATCCTTGTTAAATACAGTTCTGCCCCTATGTGGAACCTGAAACCAGGTAAACAAGCGAGGCTTTAAAAACCACATCTAATCAAAGTTCCAGTGTCAGTAATGGGCCTAAACTTCCCCTCAGTCTGACTGTCTCTGAAGACTCTTGATCTCTCCTTTCTTAGAGCACTTACTTTAACTTTCCAATTGCCAATTGTTAACCTGCCTCTTTGAGATGTAAATTTTTTTCCCAGCCAGTTTCTCAGCCCAGGGCAGTCTTTCTCAAGGACTTGGAAGCCATTCTCTGAAATGGAATCCTAGAAGGAAGGAGAGAAGGTCCTTTTCTCTCAGTCTTTTGGAGAGGAGAGGAGCCTAACCTCCCTAAGGGACAATTAGCAAACACAGATGGCCTGATTTTGTAGAATAACTCCTCCCCCAATGGGCTTCTCCCCTACTTTTTTTACTAGCTCAGTCCAGCATGTAGAAATCTTCCCATCTTTTGTTTAGCGGAGTTGAGGGCAATCTTTCCCCTATTGCAACATACTTGAATAAACGCTTTCTTGCCTGTTTAACTTAGAGTTGGGATCACTAACATCAAGTGGGTTCTCAGGGATGCCTGGCAGTCATCATGCATTTCTTTAATCCAGGGATCCTCAAACTTTTTAAACAGGAGGCCAGTTCACTGTCCCTCAGACTGTTGGAGGGACTTCGGCTGCTAAGCAAGACAGGTGGCAAAAACACCCAGTGGGCCAGATGAATGTCCTAGCCAGGCTGCACGTGGTCCACGGGCCTAGTTTGAGGAGGCCTACACCTTCTCTTTATTCAAACTATTCACACCTCTACCTCATTCTCAGTTGACCGAGCTTTCTATAGCACTGTGAAAACAAGATACCAGAACCAGTGTAGCACAGCTCCAGCCGCCTGGCTGCACGTGTGTGCAGATGCTCTGCCTTCCCTGTTTTGACAGGCACTAGGGAGCCCACTCTCTTGTGCTTCCTCAAGAGGCTTCATGTGCGAACGTCTGTGCTTCCGTCTGAACATTTCCTGTGCTTCTTCCAGCCTCACTTCCCCCTTCCCACCTGCTGAACCAATTTGTCTCCTTGCCTTCCCAACAAAATTCAAACCCAAGTTTTGCTGACTCTTCCTGGACTTTCCTCTCTTTTAGTTAAAAAAAAAAAAAAAAAAATTGTCTATTTTGTTCTTTTGTGTGCTTGTTTCTCCCTTTATAATAAATCATGGCTTTCAAACCTCTTGACTTTGAAGGCATAAAATGCTCCTAATTTTCCTCTTGCTTTTCACAGGTTTTCACTGGTTCCACTTCATTTTCCAGTCTCTTAAATCTTTTAAAGCAGCAAAGCGAAGGATCAATCAAGGCTTTACTCTATGCCTTCCTCGTCTTTCATTCATCCCCTTTTATCCTCACAGCTCTTCTTACCCCTTCTGATACAGGTGACTATTCCCATGCATCCAATTTTCAATATTTTGTTTATAAAGACTCCTCGCAAAAGTCTATTTTTGTGCGTATTCATTTTAATGTATGTAAATAATATTTCAGTAGCAATCACTTTTTTAAAATTCGGTTTTAAGTTTTTCTCTCGGCGCTGTATTTTTAAGATCCATTCATGGCATTACAGTAATTGCTGGCTGTACCTGCTTTAGCGTTCTGCCTTGTATCCACCGCATTTAGTTCCCCAGATAGGCAGCAGCTCTCTACAAAAACCCACCTACTGTCCACGATCCCTGGGCTTCTCCCTGACATCCCATCTCCCCAGCTTCTCATCTCCCACCCCAGCGTACGCCTCTCCCAGTCTTCTCCATTTCCATTAATAACCACCGAGTTCTTCTAAGTATTCACAGCAGAAGCCTTGATGTCATCCTCAATTCCTCTCTTTTTTCTCATTCCACACATTTACTGCAACAGTAAAGCTTTTCAGTTTTACCTTCAAAATACAATCAGAATAAGACTGTTTCTCAATTTCCTTCTACCATGGTGTGCAAAGCCACTATTACTTCTCCTTGGTTATTGCCGCGGACTTTTGAACTTTTTCTCAACAAAGAGCCAGAGGAATCTTGGTATGCACTGCTCTGCTTAGAGCCGTCCAGTGGCTTCCGCTCTAAGTGAAAGTCTAAATAATTTCAGTGACATAAACGGCCCTCCACGGCCTGCCTGTCCCTCTAGCACTCTGGGCACACCTTCTTCTGACCCTTAGTCACATCCTGTTATGATATCACTGGCCTGGTCTTCTTGGGGCCTCCACACAGATTCTTTCCTTGGCCTGAACAATCCCTGATCTCTTAATTCAACTGACAGTTCTAATGACACATACTGATACCCCAAACCCCACCTACTCTCCCCCACCTCTGCTTAAATTCCTATCCTTAGGATTTATTTCGATTGAAATACCATATGCTTTTAAAAGTTACGCACTCTGTTTACTGTCTATTTTCCCTATGGCCCCCAACTGAATGATGTGAATTCCATTAATATGGGGATTTGGGGTTTGTTAAGGTTTTCATTGCTGCGTGCCTAGAGGCTGAAAGAGTGCTATAACAAATTGGACATTTAGTAAATAATTTTATGATACACAAAAACAATCAGTATGTGGAAGGCAATGGGGAAATTTACCTGAGAATGAGATTCAAGTGGAAACACCTTCCCAAACCACTCTCGGCTCCAGGGCTGACCATCTGCATCTCATTTCACTTCTACTTACCCAATATTGTGGAATATACTCTTTAAAAATCCATTAAGCTGATCCTGCCTCTATCCCCCCCGCCCCAACTTAAAACCCTTTATAGCCTTTCTCTGGCTAAGAAAATAAAATCAAATTTTCTTACTGCACCGCCTAGATCTAGAGCAGGCGTCTGCAAACTACAGCCCTTCAGCCACATGCGGCCCGCCTAGGACATTTATCTGGCCCGCAGGGTGTTTTTGCCACCGCTGCCTGTCCTGCTTAGCAGCTGACTCATCCTGGGACCCGCAGTCTGGCCCTCCAGTGGTCTGAGGGACAGTGAACTGGCCCCCTGTTTAAAAAGTTTGAGGACCCCTGTCCTAGATCCTGCAAGATCCCATCTCCAAGATGCATTTTGCATTTCAGCCACCATGCCCAAGGACTACCTTCATTCATCCATTTGGTTCCTTCTAGTCTAGCCAGTCTTCCTTCATTTAGCCACCCCTAAAGGAAGCTAGGCTCATAGTATTACCTCAAAGTCTTCCCTTGGTCCCCAAACCATGTTAGTTCCCTTGTTTTGAGGTCTTAGAGGCTCATACTTTTCTTATTGCTTTATATCATAATTCTAACTGAACACTACAATTCTAATTAATTATTATGACTCTCCCCTTCTAGAATATAAACCTCATGAGGGAAGGACCATGCCCATCTTATTCCATGCTTTCCACTTCAGCCAGGGCGTCCAACTTCCTGCTGATAGTGTTAACTTCATAGATACAGTTCTTGGATTCCCATAGAAGAAACCTAGGTGATTTTATCCCAAAATATGACACCTTGGTAGGCTTAGTATTTTAAATGGAAGGCCCTTGAAGGTTAGCAGGTATTGAAAAAGGCTCTACTGTAATATTCTACTCTCTACCTTAATACTGGACTTCTAAAGAAAACACAAGTGCATTATATCTCCTCCCTGAAATCTCATTATCTATTCCAGAAGAGAAGACTAAGGAATACAACCATACCTGAACAGACTTTTACATAAGGTAATGTCCGCCTTTAAGCCTCATCCAAAGAGAATCATTTACAAATAAGTTTTATCTCTTAGTCTATTCATTCTCTCTAATAATTATTTACTACTCCTCAAAAGAAGTGCCTACATTCCCCATTTTCTAGTCCCCCATGAGGAAGGGTACATAAAAATCTGTATGTCATTTGAATGTTGGGTAATCGTTGTCCATGATTCCCCAAGGTTTATGCACATTGTTAAACCATATGCCTTTTTCCTGATAATCTATCCATTATCAATTCCCTTCAACAGGATAGGGTTGTACCTTCTGAGGGAAAGTGTGAACTTCCCTACATCACCAGTGTTAATTGTTTCTCTTTTCTCAAAACCATGGCTTTATGGCAGGAGTCCTCAAACTTTTTAAACAGGGGGCCAGTTCACTGTCCCTCAGACCATTGGAAGGCCAGACTGTGGGCCCTGGAACAAGTCGGCTGTTTAGCAGAAAAGGCGGCGGTGGCAAAAACACCCGGTGGGCTGGATAAATGTCCTCGGCAGGCCGTATGTGGCCCGTGGGCCGTAGTTTGAGGACGCCTGCTTTATGGGCCCAGAGAAAAACAATTAACAGTGAGATTTCACATTCCCACATAAATTTTTTTATGTAAAATATACTCATGTGCTCATAAAACATGTACTCAAATATTAATTCCTGCTATAAATTTGCTATTCTGAAGCTTCAGAGTGGCAATAACTATCAATACAATTTTACTTTATGCAAACAGAATAAGAGAAATATGCTATCTTCTATTCTTGTAAGACAAAAATAACATTATATTTACCACAACAAAGTTTTGCTCCCTCTGTAGTTAAATTGATTTTCACATTTTTAGTTGTGTATAAATGTCAATGTGCTAAGCTGCTTTTTATCTGAAGCCAAATATACAGCTCATCCCAGAGCTTAAAACAAGATGGGAATGGTCTCTCTGCAGTGTGTGACTTCTCATCACACAGCTGTGAAAGAAGCCAGCTGAAAGGGCTGGGTCCCATCTCAAAAAGTTCAAAGGCTAAAGACAGTTACCTCTTCAAGGACATCAGCAAGCTTGCTAAGGATCTCTTCAGGAAGGCTCTGGAATGTTGGAACGCTGAAAAATAAAGGAGAATGATGCTGAATGCATGAATATCAACTGACTTTCACAAATACAACAGCTACATAGCTAAGTGAAAATGCAAACACACGTATTAACAAAGAATCCACAGATTACGACCAAAGTAATTATTTCAGGATGATTTGATATCTAACAGGGAAAAGGCATGCTGAATGAGAATGAGCTTGGAGGTAGGACAGAACCAAGTTCAAATCACAGTTATATTCACCTGCCTGAAGGTGGGTACCCTTCTCCCACAATGAGGAAAAGCAACTCTCTCCTTTATCACTCTGTCCTCACCGGATTCCTCCCAGCCCCAGCTTCCTTCCCAGGACCCCACACCCCTTCCCCACCCCAATCCCCGCCCTTGCATGTGGAAATCTCCAAGCCAACTTCTACCCATTCCTTAGAACACAGGTTGATTGAGGATACATTCATATGGCAAGCACTCATTTAACAACTTTGGAAAGCTCCCCCCCCAACCCCTTTAGGTCAAGTTCTCCTATTTATGAGCTTTTTAATCCCTTTCTACCAGTGTAATTAGATAATTCATCAGATATTTGTTAGTGCATAGCTTCTCTGCTAGAATTAAAACTCCACCAAGATAAGAACTATGTCTGTCTGGCTCAATCCCCTGTATTTTCAGTGATTTACGAATAACAAACTCAACAGCCCATGGTGAATGAAGTCATGAAAGCATAAATATGTGAACGCTTCCCAGGACAGTCTGTAGACCAAACAAAGGAGAGCAAGAGTGAAATGCATAGTATTATGACACTAAAAACATTCGTGCCTGTCTCCCTCCCCTGTTCTCTTAGTATTCCCCAGGAAAACAGCAAATGAAAACATAGAATGATATTGAAGGTAGAAACCAATATAACTTCTTTTACATGAAGTCATAATAAATTTAAATAAGGAAACAAAACTCATCAACGTGTAATTCTTGAAAATTACTAGAAAATCTAACTAGAATATGAAACTAAATGTTCCTTTAATCATATCTCAGTGCCTGAATAGAGAAAAGACTGTCAGTGAGTGCATATACATGCATGTCCGATACTGACTTAATAGCATAATTCTGGCTTGATTACAAGCATACAATGAAAGAAGCCATAATATGCTGTTTTGATATAAGCATGAAAGTTTTACTGTTAATTTGTCACTTTGATTTTCATAACTTAGGATAAAGCCTACTGATGAAATCCCAAGGTTTTCTGTTGAGGTGTAACAATTCACCCAGGACCATCTGTTTTGCCAGATTTACTGCTGTGGTCTGAGCCATGTGAGTTTTAATTTCCAGGAGGCAGTGGATTCAGCAGCTGAATGGAACATATCACAGACAGAGACAGAAGAAGTTAGAGGAAGCTGTTTTCATGCGTTATGCAGGTTGATTCATCCCCCTTAGAGAATAAAAGGGAAAAACAAGAGTTATGCACACTGAAAAATCTAGCCCTTCCTTGTTCTTTTAATGAGCTATATTTCAGTTCCTTCTGAGGCGAATGATTGGAGTGCTTCTGTCCCACTGAGTATTTGTGGAAAATACAAACTACAACTGAGTTTTTCTCATCTTATTGTAATTATTTTTATTTTTTTAATTGTCGTTCTTTTTAATACAGGCCTATTACTTTTATGCTACATCTTTTATTGCAATTTAGTCGTTGTCTTTGTTAAGGCATGCTGCAATATTTTTATTTTCATAAGAGTTTTTAATCTATGAGAAACATTTAATATTTTCCTAATCGTATAATACACTAAATGAAAACTAAAACATTAAGTTTTAGAAGGGCATTTTCAAATATGTTATCTTTTATCTACTTCTACAATTTTAGAAGCTTTTTTAAGTGCCTCAAAACACTGAGCAGTGTTTGTAGCTAATAAAAATTAGGGATGACTTTTAAGAAGAAACATTCTAAAAAGTTAATAGTAACAGGTGAAGCACTCCCGGAAATCATTTAACAGAAAAATAAGTGCCAACGCTTTTATAAATTACTCTGAAAACATTTTTTGTAGCCATTTTTAAGATCCTAAGTTTTCTATTCTCTAAACAGTACGTAACTTTTGCCAAGTAATTAATTTTCTTTCAGAGAATTATTGGTTTACTAGTCGCTTGAATATTAAGTACACAACAATTAAGAATGGGCATGGAATAGTTCAAAATAAAGTTGCCTATAATTTAGAAACTTAAGCAAAAATCATTGCAAGGACAAACTTCCAGAGAAAATATTTAAATACCAGACAAGAATATTTTCAGTTATATAAAAAATAATTTGTTGGCTCGGCGCCTGTGGCTCAAGCGGCTAAGGTGCCAGCCACATACACCTAAGGTGGTGGGTTCGAATCCCCAGCCCGGGCCCGCCAAACAATGATGGCTGCAACCAAAAAAATGGCCAGGCATTGTGGTGGGTGCCTGTAGTCCCAGCTACTTGGGAGGCTGAGGCAGGAGACTCGCTTGAGCCCAGGAATTGGAGGTTGCTGTGAGCGTGATGCCATGGTACTCTACCCAGGGGGAAAGCTTGAGGCTCCATCTCAAAAAATAAATAAATAAATAAATAAATAAAAATAATTTGTTATAACAATTTACATGCCAATTACAAGTAATTGTTACAGATGTATTAAATGTTTTGTTCCTTAAGGACTTGCCATAGGCCTAAAGTACAGAATGCGCTTCAACGGGATATAATAGAGATGATTTAATGTAGAGTGCTTTTCCATTGGTTTTTTAATTGAATGAAACAAGAACTTGGAATTTGTAATGACAATAACAAAATGTGAGATTTGAATGCTTTCTATTGCCAGGTACTGGGCTAAGAGTTTTATAGATCATAAAAATTCCATTTTTATAACACCCTTATCAAATAGCCATTGTTATTATCATCTGTTTCACAGATAAGACAGTTGGAAGCTTGAAAGTCTGCCTGAGATCACACCACTCGGCTTTGGTGAAAAAAGGATGCAAACTCCTACCTGTAAGCCGATCACTTACTCCTTGAGTTACCTACTTTCAGGGAAGGTATCAAACTATACCTTTCAAACCAGTGCTTTATTCTTTTACACAATGATTTAGAAATGAATCAACATTGATAACATTTGATTTTGTTCATTCATTTCCCAACTTTTTATTATAAAAAAGTCACATAAATTGAAATCCTGAAAGAATAATTTAAGGATCACCTAGAATCACAACTGTCAATATTGTTCTGTTTTTGTTTTATTCATGTTCTATTCATGTATTATTATATGTGTGTGTATAGATTAATATACAGATGGATATTTTAGGATGAAACTTTTGAGATACAGTTGCAGATACCATGAAACATGACTAATACTTCAGCATGCAAATCCTAAAAGAACATTTTCCTAAATAAATAACCTCAATATAATTATTATATGTAACAAAGTTTTAATTCCATAAATCACCTAATATTCATCCTATATTCAAATAACATAGTTTGTTTTTTCTTTCCAAATCAAGATCCAGTCAAAATCCGCTCATTGCTTGTGGCTATGCCTCCGTAGTTTCTCATTCTACAGCATTACTTCTACCTGCATCCCATACGACACTGATATTTTGAAAAGATTGAGACAGTCAGATTAATAAATGTCCCACAGTCTTATTGCAAAGATTTTATTTCTGATAACCTATTGTATGAAAACAATAACTAATAGGAAGGGAAAAACCTAAGTACAAAGAATCTTATTATAGTCCTATGTCAATAAAAAAATTAAGGGTAAACCCAGCATAATGGCTCATGCCTATAATCCCAGCACTTTTAGAGGCTGAGGTGGAGGGTCACTTAAACTGAGGTGTATGAGACCAACCTGGGAAACATAGCAAGATCCTGTCTCCACAAAAAATTAAAAAAATTAGCTGAGCACAGTGGCATGCAAATGTAGTGCCAGCTACTCAAAAGGCTAAGATAGGAGGATCAATTAAGCTTAGGAGTTCAAGGTTATAGTAAGCTATGACCAGGCCACAGCACTTGATTCTGGGCATCAGGGTGAGGCTCTGTCTTTAAAAGAAAAAATAATTGAAGGTATGTATAGAATATCACACATACATAATGGGGGAAATGGCCAGAAAAAGGGCAAAAATATTTTTTGTCTCTTTAAAATGCCCCCCACTCTTTCTGGGAACTAAAACCTGCATCCTTGCTGCAGGCAGTGGTATGGCGGGGGGACAAGGAAGGGTCCTTTCTTCTTCGCACCAAGGGAGATAGCTCAGGGGAATTATCTGGTCAATGGTCATCAGATTTCTTAGCTTAAAATGGGATGCATCAGAACCATCAATTACAGGTGAAGAGCAAAAGCCTGAAGCTGAAAAATTCCCCTTTAAAAGCACTGTATTTCTGTTCAAAGGCAGAACAATGGTACTTTAAGACCGGAGTCTGTTGATCTCCTCATTTGCTAGTAAATTAACATACTTATTCCTTCTCTTCAAACCACTTGTCCCCATTCTTCTGATGTGTTTGGGTAACACATACAGCATCAGTTTTCAAAGGGTGGTGTGGAAGTCCAGGGATTCCCAAGACCCTTTCATGGGGTCTTCAATGTTAAAACCATTTCCATAATTATAACTTGCCCTTTTTCACTCTTATCCTTTCACACATATTCAGTAGAATTCTCCAGAGGCTACCTGACATGAGATGACATTGTCATTTGGATAACTAAAGGAATATAAGCTTCTATGTTCTGCGTTTTCTAAAAATTTTTAAAAGCAGTAGTTTTATGACATAATGTTCACAGACACTTTCAGTATTTTTACAGTGCTCTTACTAGTTATTTTTTCATTATTCTTGTTATAATTTAGCAATTGTAACAGATTAATAGATTTATTATCATACAACTTGCAAAATCCTGAAATTTTTCTTGAGTCTAAGTGGAAAAAGAACACAAAGTAAATACATTTGGGTATCTTGTTTTGTGATAACCATCTTATTCTTTTTTTCCAAAAACATTCCTAACTTTTTGAGTTTTATCTAAAATTTATAAATTTTTCA